ACTTATAGTATAAGATACCCCAAAACCCTGTTCTAATTATGAAGGCCCCTACGTTAGGCTAAACGGTCGTCTAATATTGAAGTTGCAGAGGTACTTCAGCTTTAAAATTTTAAAACCTTCTAGAGCATCATGAAACTCTATAAAGCCCATACACGCTTGCAGGGCCAGGGCATATAGTGTTTAGATTTTAAGGGCTCGGGGTTCAGGGTTTAGGGTGTGCGCCGGGGTGTTTAGAGTCTTGGGGTTTGGGTTCGCATTGGGTCATTCTAACAACAGTTTCTTCGCGCACTCATCCACTGTATCTGTTGTTGCAAAGTGCGGACCTCAGGCGGCACGAAGGCGTTTCATCATCTTCTGGACCACGCATTCCTAGCAGTTTCAGATCTCTTCCTGCGCTAAAGGTTTGGGAGTCTCAGGGAAGCCGCTCACGACGGCTTCAAGAGCCCCACCGAAGCCTATATCCTAAAACCTCGAAGCCCTATCAACGAAGCCCATAAAACACGGTAAAACACCTTATAAAATCCTGGCAGAAAGCCTAAGAACCCTGAACCCGAAGTGCCCTACACTCTGAACTCTGCGACGGTTCACCCATTTTCGAGTCCCTGAAAGGCTTTGCTGCTTTGTGCGGAGCTACCCGCCAGAGGTCTGCAGCCGAATGCAGTGACCGAGGAGCATGCGAGACGGCTTCCGGGCTGAGGATCTTCTGGTTTGGGGAAGCTAAGGGTTGAAGAGCATCATCGTGAGGAATAGTAGCTTTATCTATAGGAATAAGGTTTAGGGTTTAGGGTTTAGGGGCAGGATTTGGAGAAAGAGCCGTAAACACTACTTGAGAGTACCTGCTCAAGCAGGTACGCGACAGGTGAGAGCATCCCGCAGCCTTACTGACGGGCAGTTACCGCACTGTATACATACCCAAGCGCAAAACCTACACCCCAAATCTCAAAGCCCAAAACCTCAAACCTCAAAGCCCCAAACTCCTAAACTGTCCCAAACCCTAAAACCCCTAAGACCAGCCCCCTCCCCCTCCGGTTGCCGTGCCTGTCAACCTTAAAACCTGAACAAGATCGATAGAGCCCAGCGAGACCCAACAAACACACAGTGAAACCCAAATAAAGCTCTTATCAGCCCAATCAGCCCGAATAGCAATCCGCAACTAAATCCAACCCTAGGAGTTAGTATAACCTTAGTACTTTTAAGCTAACCTGAGTAGAATGCTAATCGAACCCCAGAAAGGCCACTCATCCGAAACCCTAAACCCTAAACCCCTAATCCCCTGAACCCCGAATCCTAAACCTTAACCCCCCAAACCCTAAACCTCTAAAATCCGAAACCCCCAAACCGGAAACCCTAAACCCCTAAACACTAAAGCCTAAACTCCTCAGAGACTCCAATATCCCTTAGTTAAGGAATATACCTTAAATTATAGTAGGATCCTTAATATGATTTAAGGTATATTCCTTAATTAAGGGGTATTGGAGTCTCTGGGTCCTTGAAAGAGAAGTCGCAGGACCGTGCGGTGGGCGCCTTCTCCAAGGCCTCCTTGTGGCAGGAGGTCCTGGAGGCGGGCCCTTAAGGTTTAGGGCTCAGGGTTTAGGGTTTAGGCCCCTTTCTACCGTACAGCACATGTTTGTTTTTTTAATTTTTTCCTTGGGTTCAGGGGTGTTTGTTAGAAATTCTTTTCATGTTGGAAAAACTAAACCCTAAACCCTAAACCTGTTAGAAATGGTTTTCATGTTGGAGAAATGGAGCTTCTTCTTGGGTTTCAGGGGGCTCCCAGGCTTCAGGGCAATAGAGGTTTAGCGGTATCTTACATGTGCAGGGTTGTTGTGGGGGGAAAATATAGGGGCCACAATAATTAGAATAGGGTTTGGGGGTCCGCAAAACAACAATTGTAATAAGGAACCCCAAAATAGTATTGGTAATAAAGAAGGCCCCCCCCCCCACATTACCGGGTGTTTTTAGGGCCTTTGAGGGAGTTGGTGATGTTGGCAGGTTCCTTTTTGAGAAAGAGTCTTATCCGGGGAGTAAGGTAACCCTAAACCCGGTGAGGAGGATCTGAGTAGAACGACCTTCGGAACTCCCTGATTCCTTCTCGGGATCTATGGATTGAGCCCTTCAAATCCTCGTATGCTTGCATGAATGATGCTGTAATCTAGCCCTTCAGGCATAATTCATGTACCAAGGCCGGTAATGAATAAGATTCCCATGTAGTGCCTATGTCGTTATGCTTTAAAAATGCCACCCAAGACCTTCGTTTGTAAATATTCAGGTCACTCTATAGAGAACCCTTTGCAACCTTTGAGACCCAAGAGTAGATGCTGCCCCCACTCAGTAACAGTTGAATGATAAGGCCCTTCAGGCTAGCCCTATTCTAAACTGTTACTGCGCAGGGGCTAAACCCTAAACCCCAAACCCCCAAACCCTAAACCCCAAACCCTTAAACCCTAAACCCCATAGCCTAAGCCCTAAACCTATATAGAACCCTTTCGAACCTTTTCCAAACCCAAACTGTCTGGTGCTTAGTGGGGAATGGGGAATGGATCCCTATGATAGTCCCTTAAAGGTCCCTTACAGGTCTTCTGGGCGGCCTCCAAAGCCCAGCGGGGCACGGCGCGGCTCTACAACGCGGCGATCACTGCGCAGCTTGGGCTTTGGGGTTAGGGTCCAGGGTTTAGGGTCTGTAAGGATTGAGGGTTAGTGTTTAGGGTCTAGGGTTTAGGGTCTATAGGGCTTAGGGCCCATAGGGTTTAGGGGTTCGGGTCTATAGGGTTTAGGGTCTAGATGGTTTAGGGTTTTGAGTTTGAGTTTGAGAGGGTCCAATGTGGCTCCTGCTGTGTTTTCCTACCTGGCCAACCCACCTGCTGATGCCCAGAAGCCGCTCACAGAAGCAGACGCGGACTCGGCATTTAGGGAGTCTAGGGGTTTTAGGCCTTGTAGGGTCAGGGTTTGAGTGTTGTTGAAGATCCGACACAACAGACACAGCCCTCCCGGTTGTGTTAGAATATGAAGCCTGAGAAAACACGAAAAATGCCCAGGAGTGGATGAGGCAAACCCACAGCGGTTTTCGACACCCTCCGAACCCTAAACTCCCACGCCCAAAGTCCAAAGCGAAGCCAAGGCTCTAAAACGCAATCAACCGACCCTACACCCAACAACCGTATAAGCCTAAAGTTGAAGCCCAACAAGGTACGGTCGGGGGCGGCACTGGCGGAATGCCCTTTTGTTATTCGAGGCAAGAGTTTGTTCATGCCTTTTTGCGGGGAGCCAGGCGAAAGAGGAGACTTTGTTGTTCTCCCAGGTTTTGTCTTTCATGTTCCAACTGTGGATCGTAAGATTCACATTCCGTAAGGCTGGTGGCTGGGAGGTTGAAGAAGGGCCAAGCCCTTAGGCCTGGAGGGGTTGGGTTCAGGGTTTAGGGTTTAGGGTTTAGGGTTAAGGGTTAAGGGTTTAGGGTTTAGGGTTTATGTTTTAGGGTTTAGGGTTCAGGGTGTAAGGCTTGGGGTTTGAGGTTTGGGCTCGTGCCTTGTGCGGTGGCATAGTGAAACAGGCCCGTGAGCTTCAGTTTTTGGGCCTAGGTTTTTTGAAGGCTGTGGAGCGGGGTCCAGGAGCACCACAGCACCTCCCTCCAACGAGACACCCTGCAGATACCCCTGTAACTCTGAACCCCACACCTTAAGCCCCCTGCAACCCCCAAACCTCAACTCCTTGAACCTATACACCCCGAAGCTCACGCGCTCGCGATGGTATGTCCGCGCGTCCAACATGCAGGGGCCAGAAAAGCGAGAAAAACCTCCGAACTGATGCGGATAATGTAGGGGCCTAAATAACTACCTATACTATTTTGGGGTCTCCATATCATCATTATATTAAAATTTAATGGGCCCCAAAACCCTATTCTAATTATTAAGGTCCCCTACATTACTGGGGCGACGCGCGAACAGGCAAGGTGCACAGAGGCCGCGACTAGTAGCAACTGGACGAGCTCGGTCTCCAACAACGGCAAAACCACGCTGCCCTTTCCACCTCTTTCGATATCCGAGAAACCCCGAACGCCAAAGCCCTCAACCCTAAAATCCTGAAGCCCTAGAAGCCCCAAGCCCGAGGTTTTTCGAGCACTCTTCAAACAAGTTGAAAAGCAGAGAACGCTCCTGGCCTTAAATAAAGCCCACAATTAGACGTAGCATCGCGCTAGAGTCCCTACAAAAGTATACCACGATCGACCCCAACTACGGTTCTATATTTCATTACCGCCTCGAGATAAAACTCCCTTACTTGCCCAAGAAAGCCCTACTGTAGGGGCCTAAAATAACTACCTATACTATAATTATAGTAGAATGTGCCCCAAGACCCTACTCTACATTATTAAGGCCCCCCTATGTTACACAGGACATGGTGAGCCGCACGATCCCTCGGGACGTGGTGACCTTTTGCGCGGCGCTCGCGGCCTGTGACCTTCGGTTGCAACAGCGGAGTTTGGTTTCGTGAGCTCATACACGGCTTCTTTTTAAGGGATATTACAAGAAATCCTAAACGGTTTCGAAATCTAGGGCTCGACTCAAGAAGCCCCTTGCACGAGGAACAGGCATACTCAGGCTCCTACATCTTTTCTTTCCAGTACGATTTCTGTTGCATTGCTGCGACTTGCTACATTAGGCCTGCTTCTTAATGTGGCGGTTGCATTCGGGATTTGCAACCAGGGTTTACCTGAGCTCTGGGTACAGTCAATCCCCAACATCGTCAGACCTTATCAGTACTATTGTTAGTCTTTATCACTATGATTGCAATGATATCAGAGCCATAAACCCTAAACCCTAAACCCTAAAAGAACCATTAGTATATCAGGGGAGGACACAGGATCAAGATCGGAACTTGTGGGGAGGTTCCCGAATACAGGGTCCTTTGCACCTCACAGAACGGTTTAGAGTTTAGGGTTTAGGGTTTAGGGCATTGTTGCGGAACTCAGTTGGGTAGGATCCCTTCTTGTCGAGTTCTGTGGGTTTCCTGGTTTAGGGTTTAGGGTTTAGATCCTAAGCCCTAAACCCTAAACCCTAAACCCTAAACCCTAAACCCAAAAAACCCCTAAACCAACAAACTTCCAAGGCCAAGGCCCCAAACCTTAAACTCTAAGCCCCAAGCCCCGAACCTTCTAAAGCCCCGAAATCGTAACCTTCTTGAACCCCCCCTGAACCCTAAACCCTAAACCCTAAACCCTAAACCCTAAACCCTAAATCCTAAACCCTAAACCCTAAACCCTAAACCCCAAACCCTCAGCTTCTAAAGCCGAGGATAAGGCGGGGAACTGGCAGAAGGCAGAGCTGCTCCTTGCGCAGGCCACAGCGTTGGGGTTTAGGGTTTACGGTTTAGGGTTTAGGGTTTAGGGTTCCTTCAGGGGTTCGTATATGGGTAGTTGTCAAAATTATGGTCCCTTTTTGGGGTACCCTAAATAATAGGTGCCGTATTATAATAAGGACCCAAAAAGGGACCATGATATTGACAACCACCCATATGGGCTTTAAGTTTAAGGGCTTGTAGGGCTGTGCGGTTTATGTTTTTTGGGATTGTAGGGTTTTGGGTCCTTGGGTTTTTAAGACCTCAGGGTTTTGGGGTCAGATTTCGCTCTTGGCTTGGGGCTTTTGCGAGGCTTAGCGAGCCAAGTATCGAAGCTTTGGTGTGTAAGGATGCAGGGTTCGGAGTTCGGGGCAAGCGAGCTTGCAGGGTTAAGGCTTTAGGGTGCAGGGTTGAGGATGTGAGGGTTCTTTAGGTTCGAGATCGTGAGTCTGCCACGAATCCAGGCACAGATAAGCAAGGAGGGCTCCTTAGCGACTTCGATGAACCGTGTGTGCTCATAGCAACCCTTGCCATGCCTAAGCCCCAAGCCCCTGAATCCCCAAGCCCTAAACCCTAAACCCTAAATCCTAAACCCTAAACCCTAAACCCTAAACCCTAAACCGAAGCCTTAAATCCATAGCTCCTAAACTCCTACTCCCGGAAACCCCCAACCCCTGAATCTCCGAAGGTCCAGAGGATCCCTAAACCCCTAAACCCCTAAACCCCTAAACCCTAAACCCCTAAACCCCTAAACCCCTAAACCCTAAACCTCTAAACCCTAAACCTCTGAACCCTAAACCCCTAAACCCTGAAGCCTGTATCAAGGCGCAAAGACCGAAGAGCCCCAAACGGGCTGTCCTGTTTCACAGCTTTTGAGAGGCCTTGAACCCAGACCCCC